CCTCGGAGCCTTTGCAGTTGCTGTTCCATCAGTCCGGACTGTTTTGCACTGTCGCCTTCTCTCATCATTCAGGCCTCAGTTTAAATGACTTTTACCCAGAGGGTCCTTCCCACCCCGCTCCTAGGTGAAGTTGCCCCATTCCGGAAGTATTCCCTTAGCCCTGATTGATTCATCTCATAGCACTTACTGGTAACGGAAATGATCTCTCTTATTAAGTTGTTAAGGGTCTGCCGTCGGCTACCAGCAGTTCCACAAAAGCAGACACTTTGCCTGCCTTGAGTGCAGCATTGCCGTGGTTCGCGGAGGGCCTGGCATTGGTTCATTCGTTCACTGAGTAAACATTTGTCGAGCGCCAGCTCTGTGCCACCAGCAGTCGTAGGCTCTGGGGATACAAAGAAAAGACACAAGTCCCTGCCATCGTGGAATGCACATTTGGAGGGAGGCGGACAGGGTGGGAGGTGCAGGGAGAGCCATAGGGAGGCTGTTTTGAAAATGACCAGGACTGGGGACTCGGACTACGGTCTTGGCTCTGGCGAGAAGAGAAGCGGGCAGGTTCTGGATGTCTTTTAGAGGTAAAGCCGCAGGATCAGGATCCGATAAGGGATGTGAGAGGGAGTGGAAGGAATCGAGGGGGAGTCCAAGGTTTGTGCAAAGATGGGTTTGCTATCTGCCGAGCTGGGGAAGACGGAAGGGGCCTGTTGAGGTGTCAGCAGCTTGGGTTTTGGACGGGTTATGTTGAAAAAGTGGGTTAGCATCTGGTGAGGGTGTAGCCGAGGCAGGTAGACGAGCCAGTCTGCAGCCGAGAGGAAACATTGAGGGTGGCAGATCGGGAAGCCTCAGTGTAGAGGAGGCATTTGGAGCCCTGAGGCTGGGCGAGGTCTCCGCGGAGGTGAGAGCAAATGGAGAGGAGCCCACAGACTGAGCTCGCGGGCTCGTGTATCATCACGGAAGTCCGGGCCGGGGCCGGGGGAAAGCATCAGCAGAAACTGCAAGGCCCCACCAGTGAGGCCGGGGCAGAGTGCAGGGTCCTGAGAGCCGCGTGGGAAGGATGGGAGGACGGACCAGTGCGTCCAGTGCCCTGAGGAGGCGGGGAACTGCCCCCTGGGGGGAGCAGTATGGTGGGGGGGGGGG